GGTGACGAGAGGGAGAAACATCAATAATATGGCAACACCAGTACAGAGAGAGTACAGTGCAGGCCAAGGTTGTTTTCATACGCACCACATTGGGGGGCAGCTTGTGACCAGGCAGATACTTCACATTTTCATGGTCTGTGTTGATGATTTCTGTGAGTTTACGGTCGTTCACCATCTCTTCGAACACCCACATGTTCACTGTGGTATTAAACTTGTCATACTTGGCAGCGTTTGCACCCACAATCTTGGCAATGGCAGAGCCCCTGTGGACATGGAGACACCCAAATGATCATCCCGGGGTCAAGACAATGGCTGGTTGAACGTATTGTTTCCCTAAAACAGTTAAATGTCTTCTGTTTTTTCTGTCATATGTAAACCATGCAATGAATTCAACACTGGATTTCTTGATTTTGCTCTGACTGATGATGACAGCTTGTTTATTTGTGCATTTTAACATAAGAAAATGTTCTTTGTATCAACTGTTACTGATATTAAAGAGGTTGTACTCTGACCACAGCTTAATGAGCAACAGTGAAAAAAATTAAAAATATAAAAAGTAGATTTTCAGTAATTCATAGCTAATTTTTAGCTAAGTTAGTGACTGATTTAAAGATGTTACTGTATATCAAAGTTTCCGTAATAGTGAACAGATGGTGTCTCAGGTCAAACTGTGACACGTGGACATGTGGACATGACTTATATAGTTTTTCCGATGCTTTTCCAGACAAGAATAACACTACAGGTGAAAAGTGAATACCAGAAGACTATAATTGTGTGTATTATGAAATCCCTTTTTAAGATCAGATATCAATGTTAAGTAGTAGTAAACTGGCATTAATTAGGACATATCAGTTGAACTTCTGTCCTGTTACAGCTAATGTCAATTGTGGAATGTAAGTAAGTACATTGCAGTTTTAAGGTACATGCACTTTACTTAAGTATTTTAATTTTATACTGCTTTATACTTCAACTCCACTACACCTTTAGAGGGCAATATTGTACTTTTTACTCCACTTCATCTATTTGACAGCTATAGCTACAGATTAAGATTGATATACATAAAACATAATGAACTGTTAAAGTTTTAAAGGACCAGTGTGTAGGATTTAGTGGCATCTAGGGGTGATATTGCAGACTGCAGCCTGATGAAACCCCTTGACTCAACTGAGTGACAACAAACAGTCGCTGCGAAACTCGCAAAAAAAGGCCCTATCTACAGTTTGTGTCTGGTTTGCCCATTTTGGGCAACTGTGAAAACATGGTGGTTTAACATGCCGACTTCGCTCCAACTCATAAAAACGGATCATTCTAAGGTAACGAAAACAATACAATGCTTATTTTAAGGTGATTAAACACGAATGAAAACATAACTATTAATATTACATTCCATTACATAAATGTTACACAGTGGACCTTTAACTACTCAAATCTACACAGCTTAGTTAAAATTGTCTCCCTTTAGATGAGCTAAAGCATTAAAATGCTGCCTACATGTTAATGCATCAATAATAATAATAATCATAATAATATAATACACATGACTGCTACATGAGTACTTTGACTTGTGATACTTGTGATAAATACAACTTTAATGCAGGATGTTCTCAAGTAATGGAGTATTTTTACATTTTGGTATTGCTACTTTAACTTTAATCTGAATACTTCTTCCACCACTGGCCTATCTAAATGTCATGCTGGCTGAGGGATTTGAATACATGAAGGCTGATTCAGCACAAACATTGCTGCATAATAAAAGGCAGGAGCTGCTTTTTTAATAAAGATTTTGAAGTGTTGAGGCATCAAAGGTCAGCCTATAGTCAGACAGTGTCAGTCTCAGAAGACTTCCACTCTGCAAAACAGCAGGGGAGTTTACTAACTTTATGAATTATTTATCTGCTGTTAACAAAGGCTAAAGTTGCCTTCTTTCTTCCAAGTTTGCCAACTTTTAGACAGCATTCACACAAAAAAAACTGCACAGTGTGTGAAATCTTATCCAGAGAACAAAAAAACCTGATATGGTGACTATAAACTCACCACTGACAGACCCCACTAATTAAACATTGAACTGAAAGACATTCAAAGGTGCATTAAAGCTCATTCAAACACCCCTAAAAACTCACCAGTTACCAGAGCCAATCACACAAATTTTCTTTGGTGCTGCCATCATGTGTTTGACCTTCCAGACGGAGCTGCTACCGGTGAGAAAACAGACTGAAGCCAAAAAGTATTTATACCAGACACACAGCTGAGGCTCAGGCACACCCACTCCTGTTGGTTGGTCTGCTCGGCTGCTTCTCAGAGACAAACTTTCTCTCTCTCTCTCACACTTACACACATACACACACATACACACATGATCAAGTTTTTCTCCTGTAAGTAAAAATGTACAAACTTGAATCAGTCAGTCCAGAGGAAATAAATGGAAATCTGGCCCCTTAAACACATTACAAACTAAAGCTTCACTGTGCAGAACATTGTCTGTGCAGAGTTTGACACTAGAACGATGTTTTCACATTAATCGGCTGAAAGTGGAAAGTTTCTCTGCGCTCATTGAAAATCTGATTTGTAAGGGGGCGGGGCCTGTGAGCATGATTTGTCACATCACAAATGACTTGGAAGTCAAACCTGGTCCAGTATGCAACTTATAAAAGTGTGATATAGAAGCTTGAAGCCTCCAGTGCACATACACTGAGACTTTACAGTGAAGTAGGTGACATCTTGTCAAGACCACCACTTAAATAAATTAACTATTATTTTAGAAAAAAAGGAAAGATTATCCAGTAATTTCCTCACCCATTAATCATATCCTGGCCGCCCACATTTATCTTATGAAGTGTCTGACCCTGAGGTTGGGAACCAGTGGACTGAACTTCTGAACTGTATTAACTATTGTAACTACAATAGTAAAACGCTGTTTATGCATCAATATGGACAATCTAAAAAATGTTGTATATAATAATCAGTCACAGGGGACATTTTTATGCTGAAAATCTACTTCACTATTTCATACTTCTGTTAATACTTTAAGTAGGGTTTTATATGAAGGACTTCAACTTGTAATTACATTTTTTTAAATTAATTGTTGTTCTGGTAGTTTTTCTTCTTTCAGAAGTTCAACCAATGCTGAAATGTTGTTAGTTTTGTCTTATGATAGTAAACTTAATGGGTTGAGTTTTAGACCATCATATCTGATAAAATCACAATTTAGAATCCAATTGCGAGATAAATCATTGATAAACATAAGTTATATTTGCAGCCCAATTGTTGGATATTAAAGCAGTTTTTAATTATGTGGAGGTAGAAAAAAACAAACAAAAAAACACTGGCAGAGACAAACAGGTACATTTTACATATCCTTTATTATAACATAATAAGAACATACAGAAAAATAGGTTTGGTCCATGAAAAAGTCTGCAGATTCAAATAATACTACAGTCCCCCTCCCCAGTGTTGTGTTTTATACCCCAGAGGTTCCCACCGCTTGTTTCAAATCATATACCCGCCCAAACCCACATTAGTGTATTCTTGGAATCCGTTAATGAAATGCACATACGCAAAAGTTTCAGCCAGGACACTCATCGTTACCTTCAACAAGGAAACAACCATTAAACTCAAAAAAGGTGTCAGTTCTTCAGCCAGTGTACAAAGAATCTACGACTCCTCAAATGCGTTTGGCCTCATGTACACGAGCTTGTTCAAGTGTTTATGGCTTCTCTGCACATAATTAAAATACACAAAACTAAAAAGCAGAAGAATGAACCTTTCCCTGCTCACAGGCGACATGAATGTCGTGTACATTTTGTCCTGCAGAGCAGAGATTTGTCAAATGAGACTGCCGTCTTTATTTTGTGGAGAACTAAACCACTGCTCTGACAACGAGGCCGGATTAATAATATAAATACTGGTTCAACTATCTGAGCATAGACAAAGAGTTAAGAAAAACATCTGCCAGGATAAGAGATACAACTTTACTTCACATCCATCTTCAGTTTTTTTCTGCTCAGTATTTACAAAACTATATAGACTAGAGGTACTCATACTAGCTACTTCCTTGATAATCTGTACTAGCTAACAAGACAAGTACTGATATAATACATATTTAAAAACAAAGATCATTGATAATAACAAAACAAAAGGAAAAAACAACTTCATACTAAATGCCACCATTAACAAAAGATGCATATCCTGCCATGATCGAGCTTTTAAGCATCTCTTGTACAACAGACTGTGGCACAAACTGTCAAAACAAACCAATGAGAGCTTAAGACAAAGTGACGCATGAACAGCCAATGTGCAGCAAAGTAGCCTGATTCATTACAAACACAATCACAATCAATATCTAACTGAATGGGTAAGCATCTGGGGGCTGGGTTAGGAGTGTAAAATGTAAATTAACTTTCCAAAAAGGGGAACAAATAGCCATGACAGAATCAACACATTGCTGTCGATTTAAGATATTTTTAGACTCTGGGACAAAACACATTAAAAAGTTGCCCCCTGCTTTCATTTGTGTACAATCTGTACTTTTGTGTGTACACAATTTTATCAAAATGAAAGGAATGCTTGCAGGTAAGGCTTAGACATGCAAGAGAAAATACATTGTGCTCAAGGAGCTCTTGTGTGAGGAAAAAACAAAATCATACAAAAAAGTGGAAGTAGCAACTAAACTGCAAGAGTAGTTGAGCTGCAGGGTTAAAAAAAAAAAAAAAAATCGCTGTATAAGAATAAGGAGACACGTTCTGCTGTCGGAGACGACGTGTGTGTGTGTGTGTGTGTTGTGTGTGTGTGTGTGTGTGTGTGTGTGTGGATGTTCAAAATGAATTCCTCCAACAGTTTTCTGACAACCTTAGAGAGACATAGATATTAGATGGCTTTACCGTTATATAGGATGTCCTTTTTT